CCTCTCTGAGACTTTGTTTACCTACATGGCACAGAATTATCCCTTTCAGAGTTTTCTTAAGGCTTACTGAAATCAATCCCTCTAGGCTCATGAAATGCTTTTCTTGCTAGTTCTTGGCCTCCTTCCAAACTGTCAGTAACTTTCTAGGAACACGATGTGTGGGATTTAGGGCAGTTCTGCATGCTGTGAATGGCCAGTGATGGCAGGGGCAAGGAAAGGTCTTTGGCTGATGCTGTCATGAGAGCAAAAGGAAATGTTTCTCTGGGAAGTCTCAGGCGCTGACTGTACCAGATGGTGGCCTATAAAGATGCAGAGAAGAGAGGAGTTGGACAAGCCTCATAGCACGCTCTGACCAAACCTGAGTGCAGAAATTTGGTTTATAGCAGTTTATGGTGTAGATTCCCCATGTCAGATACTGTGCCAGGAGCAATGCCCCAGTTTACAATCACGTCATGGAAATGACTTGCTTCTTTATGGTAGCATATCTATCCCACAGCTTTGCCAGACATATTGATTGGTCTATGAGTGGGTCTGGCTGGTCTTTGTTTTTCCACATAACAGATGCTGAAGGGAGAAGAACTTCCCAAGAACTCAGAAGTGAAAGATCTAGGGCAGAGCCACTGCTACTCATCTCCCCCCTGCAAATTCTCTGCTCTCAGTGCAGAGAAAAGGCTGTTGCTAAGGAAACCAGTGGGGGAAATGTACATTATATCACATTTTATATATTTGTCCGAGGAGACCCTTTAATCTGAGCCTGCCATCATGTAATTTCACAGAAACAATAATGCTAATAAACCCCATAAGGGTAATAGTGATTCCAAATCAAATCAAATAATCATCATTTACTTCAAAAACACCTCTGCCTACAGCCTTCTACCCTAGCCAAGACGCTGGCACAGGGCTAGCAAGGCAGCCCACAATATGGTACATGACAGGAGGGTAAATCTAAAGCAGCAAAAGGTGTGATGAGAGGTGGGGGGTGGGTCCTACACAGCAGTAAATGGCAGTTAACATTTGAGGAAGGACAAAATCTAAATAAAACATCTTCAGATTTGTAGATGTATAGAGAAGGATGAAATAAAGTGAAAGGTTCATTTTATAGCATATGGTCTAGCTTATTTTTTCTCTTCTTTACCCACCCAACTTCTTGTTGCCATCCTACCTTTGTGAGGCCCCTTCTGAAGCTCTTTTCTCTTTTGCTGCCCTTTTAAAAAGCATCCCACCATTTCCTACTTGCCTTCATGATAATAACAAGCACTTTGCCCTCCCAGACCATCAGACCTATTGCACCCTGGTGTCTCAAGGAGACAATGCTCTTTGTGAGGCTGCACCATGAGCCTCTCTCTAGCATCAGGCTGGCCTGGTGGCTGCAGTCCTCCTGGGAATCCTTCAGAACAGAAGCCTAATTTAGTCCTTTGGATGTCAAAACAGGCTTTCACTCTGCCCTTCCCACCCTCTATTTTTTCCTTCCTGATTTGTACTGGCACTGTGGCTTAATTAGATTTTTGTCATTATTTATAGTAGCTTCTATGATGTGTTGACTTGTAATTTCTTCAGGACAAGGACTTTCTTGTTGTGTAGAGCAATGTACAAAATAGATCCCAGCCCTGTCTTGTTCCAGGGCTGTGACTGATCCTCAGTCAGGTGTATGTCCCTGCTTCTTGTCCTGAAAGTAGGTACATGAAAAACATCAGCGAGGCTTTGTATCATTAATGTTCAATTTTATATACTGCAATGTAGGACAAGGTAGCTATTGGAGTAAAGCAACTGAATTACACTAGTTAAGGCCAAATAAGGGTATACCTGCTCACAGCATCTTTGTAGGACAGGTCACTTCCTCCAGACTTGCCCTTAGTCCTGTGCATTTTCATGACCTCTTGGGTTAGAGTAAGTTCTGTGGAGGTCCCTTGAATCCCAAGGTGATTAATAAATGTTGCTTCTCATTCCATTGCCTCCTGGCAGTAGGTTTACACTTTGCTTTTTTCAGGGTCTCACAGTTTCTGCACACATGTAGTGGAGTTTCCCAGAAAGTCCTTCCCTGCTATGTCTTACAGCCAGACACATTCAGCAGTTAGTTGGGAAGAAACAATTCCCTTTCCTCTTCCTGCCTTACCTTATGCCCCTTGTGCAGACACGTAGCCTTGCTGTCTGTTTTTCAGCCCCAGCCCTTTTCACAGGACGTAATGGCTGCTGTGAACAAACAACTGATATACATACTGTCTGATTTAAAGGGCTGTAAGCACTTCTGGTGCCCAAATAATATATGAATATTAATAGAATGACTTTAATGATGTAATAAAAGCCAAAAAATAAATATCCTTAGGGGCATGATAATCTAACTTCAAAAGCAATTGCCATCAGTAACAAAATGCAGAGAGAAGACTAGGATTACTTTAATAAGATTACCTGCTTATTGCCATTTGTTTCTGTGGGTGACTGTAATGCTGCTTCACCTTCATTCCCAGTCACTTTCTCAGATGCTTCTCACCGTGAGCATTGGCAGGCCAAGCTGGACTACTGTGAAGCTGGGGCTCACTGGCCTTCCCCTTGGATCCAGAATATCTCTGTGAGCACCTACTCCTTGGTCTTCAGCCTCCCTTACTCTTTTGCCCTTGTTGTCACTGCAATCTTGTTTTTCTATGCCCTGTGGCTTCATTTCCATGGGGGAAAAGACAGGAATGGGAGCACAGGAAGGGACGAGGAAGGCTGGTGTCTTTGTTGAAGTGGAAGGACAGTAGAGAAAATAATTGCAAGGTCAGTGTTGTAAGACAAAGGCAGAGATTGGATAATTATGAAGGCTCTTTAAAAATTCAGCTTTATCCAGCAGGCCAGGAGGAGTGGACAACAGGCTCATCAGGGGCAGTACATGGTCTATGGTGCAAGGATTTCTTCTTTAGATCCCTGGAGCCCCTTAACCCAACCAATGGCCAGTGCCCATGCTCTTCTCACTCTTCAACCTCGCCATGTCCCTGTGGCATTTGAGTCCCAGAGCTTGATCACTGGTACATTTGGTAGTCATGCACTTAGGTGGAGAGTCTGTAGGGAGGTGGGCATACGCTCAGGGGGACCAAGACTCACACGGTTGAGGGGTGCAGATGGTAAGATGGAAAGACTGCTGAGAGCAATAGTGATGTCTCTGCAGAGACGACATTAAATCACATCAGGGATAAGCACACCAGCTATGTGCATGAAGGACAGAGTTGTTCTCTTGCATCGGAGGCAGCGTGGGAAAAAGTAATTGTCTGCTTCTGCTTGTGAGGATATTTGTATAGATAAGTTAATGTGCAAAAGGGTAGATAGATACATACATACATATGTATGTACATATGTACATAGATACATAGAAAGAAATATGTGGATAGAGACACAGTTCACTCCAAACAGACAAATGTGTAGCCCCTGGTGTTTGGAGGATATAAAAGGATCTTCCAGAACTTACTGGAGATCTCATCAAAGCTCTCAACCCACAACTCACTTGCCTAGCTGCATCTGCACAACAGAAAAATAGGACCTTGATCATTACTCCTGAAGAAAGTAAAAATGACCAGGACACAGCTAATAAATAAAACAAGTTTAATCATAAACCGTGTACATATTTATTGATAGGGAGGAGGGCATGATCTGGAAGGTGCTGCCCTGGCAACTGCAATAAAAGAACAGTGTATTTTACCAGTCAATATATAGTACCAAGGAAGGGTGGAGTTGATAAATGAATATGGGATTTTGAATCCCACAGGCTAATTTTTACAGACAACCATCATTCTTGGTTTCCTGTCAATTTACGGCATGAACTAGCTCACAGCATTGCCCAGGACACAGCAAGGCAGGTACAGCCAAGGACAGAATTTGAGGGTGAGGGAGGGACAAGATTATCTGAAGGTCATTCTGAGGTATATGTAACATATATACTTTTCTATTGTGTGCAGTTTTGGGGCAATGCTTTGCCCACGGTTACGTGTGTGCACACCTCATTCCAGTTAGTGAGAGTGGAAAGCTCACATCTGAGAGAATATACTGGGCTTTGAAAGCATACAGGAGCACATTGAACAACAGAGCCAGAAGCAGAACAGGAAGAGAGCTAAAGACAAGGAAGCCTGGACTGGGCTGAGAAAGGGAAGAAGTGAATGGACAGCCCCAGATTTATGTGGCCATGGCCAGCCAGATCAGCCCTGTTTGGACTGCCAGCGCAGATCTTCTATTCTGAAGGCCTTCTACAGTGCAAAGGTTTCCATGAAGGCAACTTTTATCAGACAACAGGGAAAACCATGAACAAAACTACTACAGGCATGTTAACAGAAGAAACACAATGGAGATGGCCCTACAACTGTTCAGTTCTTAATTTTGAAGGAAAACCCAGTCCTGCCTCTGAAGTGGTCTAATATGAATCTGGTCAGTCTCAGCTCATACAGGCAGAGGATGGAACCATTGCTCCAGCTGCCAGCAAGGCAAAGGGTGGCATTTATACTACAGTGTTCAGTCAGTGTGGCTGTGAGAAACAATATCACACCAGGCTTGCAAAGCAGTCAAATGTATTGGCTTTTTGCAGAACAATTTCACTGTCAATCAACGTACATATTATAGAATTTTACAGATGACCTTTCACTGCTAGAAAGTAAGACAGCGTTTTGATGTCAAACTCACTTGACATCTGATTTTGCTAAGAACCCACCCCAAGACAATAAAAAAACCCCAACAAACCAAACAAATAAAATCTATGATACAAAACAACATTCATATCAACATCTAATGGCAACTGTCCCAGCAAACACAAAATCAAGATCTTCTTAATGCAGGTCCTCTCAGAAATCAGTTAGTCATGCATCCGTATATAGAGTCCACTCCCAACCTGGGAAACCTCAGTTAAGACTGCTGCCCTTTGAAATACAAGTCCCATTGTTTTAAAGGAGTGCTCCACACATGCATGCACACATATATACAGACACACTGGGATACGCACACACGCACACACGTAACCTCCTCTCTCTTGCAAGAGCTGCATGCTGGGTAACTGTTAATGCCTTTTGTGCATTTTTTGCCTACTTTCTTTGTAAGGATGAAGTTCAAATGTCTTTACTTCTCAGGTCTGTATTCTTTAAACAAAATAGGGAATGACGAGGAGCTACATTACAGACAGAGAAATGCACTCGTATCTCAAGCATGTGATTTTTCCCAGTCATTTACAAGAATGATGTTATTTACATTCATGACTCAGCAGAATCCACAGGAAGTTATCCTTTCTCCATGTTGGGTTTTCTCGAACCCCATAAGCCCATTCTGTGCTTCCACGGATCGTTTTTCTTTAAGGCACTGCATGTGGATGATGACTTCAGACAGAAGTGCAAGCCCCCTTCACTGGATCGTGCATTTCTCTCTCTCCCTGGACTGACCTTCCCTGAGAACTTTTGATTTGATATACTTCAGGTCACTGTTGACGCTTGGCCGGCGAGCAAAGGGAGAGATCATACCGTAAGCGTCCATGTCCTTGACTCGGCGCATGCGGAAGGGTTTTGGTTGGAAAGTGTCACCATACTGGATGGAGATTTTCCTGTGGAGGGAAGGGCTCATCTCATGAGGTAGCTTGGCCATGCTGAAGAGGACATAGAACATCTCATCCACATTGGTGTTCTTCTTGGCTGAAACTTCGAAATAGGCGCAGTTTTCATCGCTGGAGACAAGGTTCTCACCTTCATCTGAACGTACCTTGCGGTAGATTTCACTGTGGTCACTTTTGTTGCCACAGATCACCATGGGGAGGTCAGCCGATTCCTTGGTCTTGTTCTTCAGGCAGGATTTGACCTCAAGGATCTGTTTCTGTAGCCTCTTGACCTCATCAAAGGATTCTCTGTTGTCCAGGCTGAATACCAGGATGAAAACATCCCCTGCAATTCCAATTACAAAGAGAAAACAATTACAAAGGGAAAACATCCAATTACAAAGAGAAAACCAGGATGAAAACATCCCCTGCATTCCAATTACAAAGAGGTAGTGTAAAGGCTTGTTGCTTGCAGTGCATGTCAGAGGAGCTAACTTTAAAAAAGCAGTGGGCTTCTTTGCCATCTCCTCCCCCTGTTTTTTGTTTGGTCCTCTTGAATCTATTCACTCAGTTTTACATTCATTCCAGTTTTTCTAATTCAACTCCTTACACCTTCTTGTAGTGCTTTGGAAAAGACTTTTGGCGATGACGTTACTTCATCTATATCCAATTGTGTTCCTAGCTCGCACTGGACTTGCAATTTATTTCCCATTTTAATCTCTTTTGTAAACATGTTTCTATCTCAGCTCTGCTGCACTGCTTTTCTTCTTTCTTCCTTTCATTTTTATCTGCATAAAACACAGCCTGTTCTGACACTAGGATGAGTGGAGACTTAATAGGCACTCAGCCTTGCCCTTTTGATTGTACAATACATGAAACAACACCTGAACTGAAGATTCACATCTAGTCAGTCCTGAACACAGAAGTCAGGAATGAGAGGTTTCCCAGTGGTCTGCTGTCATTTCATTTGCTCCAGAGAAACAGACCATGGGAAAAAAAAAGAAATATATATATGACACGGATCCCCTGGCATTTCCTTTTTGGCATTTCCTGACTTACAATTCCTTTTGCAAATATAAAATAACGCAAACCATTGCCTTTTGAATGACATTCGTGTGGAACATACTAAGAGAGCTTTCAGGGACAAGAGCTCACATCTGGATCCCAGAAACTGGCCCTAGGACCTCACTGGATGTGGACACTAGCCTAGTCAGATGTGAACATCATGTTTCTCTGGCTAGCTAGAAGGGTAGATAGGCAAATCCAGAAAGCGGGTTCATTGTTTGCTGTGGCTGAATATATCTCCACTGTCACTTTCACAGTTAAAGAATACATCTTAGCTTATCACAACAGGAACTGCTTAACAATAAGAACATACAAAATGAGCCCATGATTTTCCCTTTTTTCCCTTCAGTGCATTCGATTAACCACAGATTAAGGAGAAAGGGTAAAAGTAGAGCTATCCTTTTACTGGAATATCAAATCAAGGGAATCAGACTGGAAATTTTAGGAAAAAAATAATCTTTGAGGTTTTTTTGTTAGGATCCTTTTCTGTGCATTTTACATTTGTTTTTCACCGCTTATGTCTTGTAACGACATTCTTATTTTGTCCCTTGCTGCTTTTTATGCCCATGATATTTTATTCAGCCATTTATTATTTTTTTTTACTACAGTAAAAAGATATGGAGCAGAAAGGGAAGCTAGGAGGGAAATAAACCAGGGGGAAATCTCAATTTCAGACCCTCACCAAGTGGACTTCACCTTTGTGTCTGATGGACATCCAGTATTGCCTGGGATATCCCAGCCAGGAAATATCTCTCTAGAGAAGCACATCTTGCAACAAAATCAAGCGGTCCTTTTAGCTACCTCCCAGGAAACAGTCATCTCCAGGCTGCAGTTTTTCAAGGTAATGTCTATCCTCATGATTTTTTACCCACCATTCCCCATCTGCAAACTTCCCCCCACTTTCTTCTCACCTGTCAGGATGGAAAGCCGCCTCATAGCAGGGAAAGGGTGATTCCCAGAGGTGTCCAGGATGTCCAGCTGATACATGTCTCCCCGGATGTTGTAGACCTTGCGATGAAAATCCTCAATGGTGGGAGTGTACTGGTCCTCAAACCGGCCATTGAGAAAGCGTGAGACAATGGAGCTTTTCCCCACCCTGGAGGCTCCCAGCACTACCATGCGGTATGAGTTCTTAGCTGGCACATTCAGGGTGCAGTTTCCACCGGACATAGTCTTCATCATTGCTTGGTCCTGAAAGGCGAAATAGCAGAGTTGGAGGAAAGACCAGAAACTAAACAGAGAATGAAATAGGGCAGCTCCTTACCACAAGCTTGTCAGACAGCGCTCTGGAGCATAGTAGTTAGTAGATCAATGGTCCATCCAGAAGTGTTTTTTCTGGAAACGCTTAATTTTTTTAGTCTCATTTCCAGGGAGTGGGGTTTATTGTTGGTGGTGTGTTTTTTCTTTTCTTTTAAAGTCATATAAAAGTGAAGTCATTTACACTGAAAATAGCATGGTTTTGAACTGTAATTTGCTATTTCATTTAAACATTAAGGGCTAATTTTATCGGCTATGCTTCAACTTAGATACCAAGTTCCTTCCCACCATCTGCGTCACTTCTACATTACCAGATTTTTCAGTAGAGCTTGGTTCTCATTTAGATACATAAATACAGAGGTCAGATTTCCCAATATACTGCATGTACTGCAGCTGCCATCAGGACCTTGATGGCTTTGTTTGATTGCCTAAATAGGACCTGTGCATAATACTCATTTTCTGAGATCAACCAAAAGTCAGACAGAAACAAGAATTATGCTCGACATCAATGAAAGCTAGACATCTCAGTAACTTTAAATAACTAGTCCCATACAACCTTCATTGCTGATATAGGGAGTTTGAGCCAAAAAATAGCACTGGCCGATGCTAAATTCAAAGACCTGTGCTTTCGGTGACCTTCTAGAACCCAGATTTTAATCATGCAGTTTGGACTGGTAGGATGGGAACTCCCTATAAGAAACTACCAGCAGTGCAGCAGGGTAGACGGCAATGGATGGAACTGCAAAGACGTAGATTTCATGAGATTTTCAGTCTTCATACATACACAGCTGTTGTGGGTGTCACAGTCTGTGCGGGTGCTAAGTACAAGCAGGAGAAAAAATAAAGGACAGCCATCTTACATAGCTACTAGACGAGATTTCCAATCCCTGACAAATAAAATGAGTCTTGAGACTTTGGAGATCATATTTTGGCATAGCACTCAGCTGCAGAAAACTTTGATAGAAAAAAAAGAGTGTTGCTTCGATGTTTTTTATGTACCAGTTCAAATGTGTGCTGAAGGGAAAAATATAACCCCTGTGTGGGGAAAGCTACGTGTTAGAGCAAAGAAGGCACATTTCTGACAGAGTTTATTTTGGTTACTAGGATCTTATTAAAGAATAATCAAGTTCCCACTGTGCCGTTTGTTTAACTTAAGTGTTGTTTATTTAATATTACAATGCAAGTACTTTATGTACACTGAAAGATCGTTTCTGGATCCAGATCTGGATTCCTATCTTTCCCTTGAGTGAATTTTATCTCCCAAGCTTTTATCTAGCTGACACTTATCTCAGTCAAAAGCTTAGAATCTTTTACTTTGTTTAACATGTGCTAAGCGCCAAAGCAGCAGCGAAGATACAATCACTGCTAAATAAAGAATTCTATGGAATTCTGATCCAGCATCATTGCTGTGCTATAGCCCAAGGCAACAGCAAAACACTACTATTTATTATTATTATTGCTATAATTTGCTGCACGCCAGCAGCACATTCAGCCCTATCTAAAGCACAGAAGAAAATGCAATGCTTTCCTCAGAGTAGCTTACACTCTGAATCACATTCAGCGGGCAGGACAGCATAATATTAGAGCCAGTAGTAATGACAGAACATAAATTTGGATGGACACAAATGTGCAGAGTTATGGTACTGTTGGGAGTGCTGTGGTGGGAATGATGGCAAGGAGCACACAGGTACTTGAACTGGACTCTGTGTTTTATTTAAACAGGACCTATCTCCAGCAGTACAGAAACACTATATTCAGTCTCTGAAATAGCACTGCCAAGTACGCTATCTCTACACTTTCCTACATAGTCAGTCCAGTACTGTCTTGCATTCACAGGTAGACAAATGGTGACAGAGCTGCTTTGGGATGCTTCCTTTCACCCTCTCAGGTTTTATTTAGCTGGCAGAGAAAAGCAGGGAGATAGATTTTGGGGGAAAAAAGGCAAACTTCTCTACAGACCAGGATCATTATTTAGAAATGAGTCAGCTCTTCAGTCTGGGATGGACCAGTGTAGCTGCATAAGGGCAAGTGGATTGTGTTGGTTCACACATGCCAAAGATCAGGTTTGTGTAACCTGGTGCGGCAGCATCTGTGAGTGAGCACAGTCGTGCTTTTTAAGCAAATACCTTATATGTCCCGCATAACATGCACGCTGAGGGACCTGATCCTGGCCAGCAGCTTTACAAGCCAAAATCCTACAAATTATACTGCTGATTGGCAGGTAACCACTGAGCTGTTGGTGATTAGAGAAACTCCCATCACACAGCAAAGGAGATGGACTGTGTCACTGCGGCTGTTTGGAGGGTTAATTTTGCCCCTTTAGTGCAAGAGGCACTTTTGTCCTCCACTTTGAAATTAATTTCACTGCTTTGGACCTCAGTTAATGTCACAGTACACTGAACAGCTTGGAGAAGGAAGTGGCACCGTAGCTGCCTGCAGACAGGGAAGATCAAGGCACAAGGAAGCTGAATGACAACCCAAGGTCCAACAAATGAGAAACATGAACAGACTTTGGGACCCTACATTTCAAATTCTTTCTCCTTTCCACCTTTCCTCACCCTTGGATCTCTGGTCATTAAATCATATTGCCTCCCACCCCCATCAAAGGCAAAATCCTACGTGCAGGCATGTGCTCATTTCAGGACGCTTTGCCCCAAGGATGTAGATGCACTGGAAGGGAAGAAAGGATATAAGAACACGCAGATTTTAAGGTATTAAATAGTCACTTTATGCTGTCCTTGTTCCATCTCTCAAGGCATTCAGTCAAGAGGATGGTTATGTTTTCCTGACTGCATTTCATTTCACACAAAGTCAAAAGATGCTTTTCAGCACTTTGATTCATGGAGTTGCTACTCATCTCATCACCTCTGCTGCAAATCTGACTCAGAGCGTGCCACTGAACCAGGAGCTTTTATTTGTGGTTTGTGCTCTCTTCTTATTCCCCAACTCTAGTTTTTCTCCAGTTCAATATAATCTGCCTTCTTTCCTCCTCAGAAAAGGAATGAAACTTCAGCCTTCACACCCAGGGGTGGGTGGGGAGAGCACAGGGACATGTACATTGAAAAAGATTAAAGGCAGAAGAAAGAAAACAGAGAGAGGCCACATGTTCATATACTAAGTAAAGCAAAATCAATCAGAAGAGAATGAGGAGACAAACAACATCCAGCTGGTTTTAATCTACTTCTTTTCCTTCCAGTTTATTAAATGCTTAAGCATAGATTAATTCCCAGTGGTACCTTCTGCTTTATGCACTGGCTTGATGCTAGAAACTTTACATTAGTATTGTATATTGGTACAGCACAGAGATTTCAAAATGTCATAGATACATTGGCAATGGGTGTTATCTCCTCTTAATAAAGGGAAAAGCTCGTACACCCAGAGAGAGCTGAAAAAGCAGCCCAGAATCAACATAAAACCCCATTTCTTTCAACTCCCTATGTCATCTTCTACCTGCTAACCACCACTGCTTGTTTCATAGGCAGACATCAGAGTTAATGACAGTGAATCTGCTTTTGTATGCTCTGAGGAGTGCTTATCTGAATTCCAGTAAGGTGCTGAAAAATTTGATCCTGAGCACCTGTAGAGATATCTAAGGGAGACATTCTTCATTCAACCTGCCTGGAGCTTTTACACCTCAGTTATCCATCCTCCCATCAGGGGTATGCTCCCCACCTCACTTGCACTCCTCAGTCCTCAGCTATTGTTTGTGTCTCTTTGCTATCCCAATGTAATTCAGTGCACCCAGCTAAAAAGGACATAGGCAGACACAGACTTTATCATGCATAAGATGCCTGACAGTTGTTAATCACTACTAATATCCCCATAATCTTCATGCATGCCAGAATCACTCCTGTGGGATGTTTGTTTCCTACTTTTATCCTAAACTCCATGCTGCTTTCTTACCTCTCTCCTTGGAGGAGCAGTCCTGGGTCTTGGTACAGTCTGGTGAAGCTGATAATTTTAATCAGAGGTGGCTGCTGCTGTAAAAGGCTGTTGCTCTGTGGATCCCACGTTGCTTGCTCTGGGCTCAGTTCTTCACCAGTATTTCCCAGGAACTTAGCAGGATTTGGAAGGACTGCAGAGCTCCACAGCACATTCCCCCATGGATGGCAGGTACTGGACCAGATGACTGACGGCGGCTGAAGAAGGGTCTCAGGACCAGTGATAGCTTTCCCTTTGGTGAGATGAGCTCTTCTCCTCACAGCCTCAGTTCAAGAGAAGGAGAGGCAGAGTCTCTCCCACTCTCACTGGCTTTTCTTGCAAGTTGTGCTTTCGTAGGCTCTGCTGTGGGGAAGGGGTCTCCGAAGCGTCACCCAGCCGAGCAGGGTCGTGGGTGCATCCAGCTGGCCCACCCTGCCTCTACACCACCTCAGACCCTATGGGCAAAAATCAGTGGGGGCATGGAAGCTGTCTGTGGTGAACCTACACTTACCCAGGTCTTGCCTGGCACACCTTCCCCCCAAGCTTCTTTTCTTCTGGTTCGAAATTTGCTTTAAAATATTCTCTTTTGAAGACAGAAGGGGCTTTTCTTTACATTTGCCAATTAAGTCTTTCTTCTTCCCTCCCTGCCTTTCTCCCTCTCGCTCTCACAACTACTGGCAAATTGCAGATTTTCCTTCTGTAGGACTCACAGATAATTGGCTCAACTCCTCCCTTGAAGTCAGTGTCAGACACAGGGGAAGGAGGGGTGCTGAGGGGGTGGGATTTTGTGCCTATTGAAAAAAAGCTTTTCTTTTCTCCTCTAAACAGAAAGTTCACATGCATTGCAGACTGCACATTCCCGATCTTTCCACCAGAGACCTGTATGTATGCATATGTGGGGACTGAGTTAGGGTATGTGGACGAGAGACACAGAGACTTCATTTACTTTGCAAGCTGTAAATTCGTAAGCTGTTTCTAAAAGCTCTATACTTCCGTGCCGATCT